TCTTCCTGCTCACTGTCCTCATCCTGCCATCTTCCTGCTCACTGTCCTCATCCTGCCATCTTCCTGCTCACTGTCCTCATCCTGCCATCTTCCTGCTCACTGTCCTCATCCTGCCTTCTTGGTCCTGCTCACTGTCCTCATCCTGCCATCTTCCTGCTGCCTGCACACTGTCCTGATCCTGCCATCTCCCTGCTGCCTGCTCACTGTCCTCATCCTGCCATCTTCCTGCACACTGTCCTCATCCTGCCATCTCCCTGCTGCCTGCACACTGTCCTCATCCTGCCATCTCCCCGCTGCCTGCACACTGTCCTCATCCTGCCATCTCCCTGCTTCCTGCTCCTGTGCCTCTCCTGCCTTCTGCTGACCACCACTTTCCTTCATACACATTAACAGTTTGCAAAACTGCACCTATACTTTTGGTGTAATGTTCTGTAGCTCTTAACACTAATATTTCCTATTTACTCTTCTTTTACCACCAAAAAAGTGTTTGATGTCTCCATCTTTTGTTTTCCTCATAATGTGTCTGTGAATAAAATCTAATCTATGTTTAACAACATCTAAAAATGTCCACAAATATGAAATTGTGGAATGCAGAATCAATACTACTAAAATTAAAATAATTGGGCTTATAAAATGACCATGATCGATTTTACCTCACCAAATAAGCCTGATTTAAATAGAAAACTTAGCTTGTCTTGCTAGTTAACGTAACTAACGTTGACTGTACCGGCCTCAGAAGGACAATGGTAAGTAATTCAGACTGGCTAAGCTGCTTCTATCGCCGAGGTGGTTAAAATGGTACGGTCCACACTAGGGGTGGCTGAAATCGTTTTACATAAAATTTTCCTACAAGGTGAGGTTATTTTTTTATTATTATTATTTTTTTTTTACAACGAAATAAAAATGTTAAGACCACCCCCCCCCCCAAAAAAACTGCTATTTTTGTATATTTTGGGGGGTCTGGGTCTTGATCGGTACCCCCCGTAATTCGAACCATGACTGTCACAGAGTACTCAACTGGTTGGTTGAAACAAAATCTTGCTGTAAAGTTTTTCTCTTCTGGACCTGAACTATCCACCTTTGGTGGTAGGTTATTCAATGCCATTGCTCCCAAATTCTGGAATTCTCTTCTCAACCTCTCAGTTACTATTCTTCATTCTCCACTTTTAAATCTGACTTAAATACCTTCCTGTTTAATTAACATTGCTTTCTTAAACTGCTTAGTTGCTTTTTAGTCCTCCTTGTAAATTGCCATTTGTGAAATGCACTACAGAAATGTAAATCTATAGCATGGGCTGTGCCCGGCCAGGCGCATGATACATATTATTTAAATACTTAATACACTTCACAGCAAATGTTCTATCAAATGTTGCTGTGAGTAGAGAAACGATTTTAAATGATTTGAAGGTGAAAAAACAAAATGCACGTAATTATCGGTACTTAAATGAAAACTTGATATTTATCTAGTATCTAAAGTAATTCATGGGCGTGTGACGTGGGGTAGCTCCGGTGGAGACGCAGGCCTATACACTTATTTAAATCTCTCTACAAACCTGAGAACCGCAGTTTTGCAACAGAGCTGCGGAATCCGGAAGCTTAGACGCTTTTGCTAAGGGCTACGTAAGAATCGGTACGTTAATAACGCACAACCCGGGGAGGAGCCCCCTCCAGTAAATAAGAGCAGAGGCGGACAGTCCGGGGAGGGTACAGAGCCTAGTAGCTCGCTGAAAAATAACTTTAGAAGACTTTAGGGTGCGCATGTTTGAAATGGAGATGAACGAATTTGATTTTTAATCTTTTATTTTTTATTTTTAACTTCGGTAAGTAAGCTTCATTTCAGCCTATGAGCAACGTGAATGATGCTGTGTAATATGAGTCTCTGTGTTTCCGACTACCTTTAACAAACGTGACAGTGTTGGATTTGCCATTAATTCCGTGCCTTTTCGCCGCACGTCGCTGCCATTCCCACGACTCCGTACTGTCACCTGTGTAAGATCAGCAATCGCTCTGTGGGTTGATGTATAACTGCGCGATTAGGTGGAACAGAAAGACAATTTACTGGCGATGTAGTTAATTAATGCGAGCCCCGCCTGATTAAAAGCACCCCATAATTGCTAAAGGAGTTTGACATGTGAACGTAACTGTTAATATCCATAGTGGTAGGATATACTGTGTATGTGTATTTTATTTATACACACACACACGCGCGCGCGCACACATACATCTACGCACAGGGCTGCAGGATATATTAAGTTTATCCAGCCATGCTTGATGAGGCATTTGGCTTGATTTGGGGTAATGGTTTTATACACAAAACAATTTCATTGACACTGGCCAACATACATACACTGTTACCTTATTGTCTGGTATGAAGTTACCAATCAACCATAAATGGCTTATTGGACATTAGCCTAAACAACAGACAGCCTTCTCTATAATGTGTTGCAGGTTTAAATGTACTGAGCCCCAGCGTACTGTAATGTCACACATTATGTAAGCACACTTTCGTGGATTAATTGCTTTAACAGGCATAATTTCATGTTAGGTCAAACTTCGATGATGTCGTTAGCTTTGGTGCAGTAACATAAAATGGCCTACTTGATATATCAGAAAAAATACTTTGATAATCACATTTAACATAGGCTCGGTATCGGTTAAATTGGATTTGTCTACTTACATTGCTTGCTACTTGGAGAAAAAAAATACAATAGATATTAAATTTTTTCAGTATTACAAACCACTTTGTGACCAAAACTGCATCCGGCACAACTTGGGCAGATCAGTTCTCAACTTGTTCAGGCCCTAAATCCCGCAGCGGCAAAACACAAACAGAAGTGCGGCATAGTATAGATGTTTTTGAATAAAATCGAAATCAGTGTCTGAGTTACTTATCCTTCGTTAAATGGGTAGCTCGTCGTGGAAGTGGAAAATGATATGTGCAGGCTAATACACGGACTTTACTGTGTCCAGCTACAAATGGAGTTCAAGGGAGACAGAGGGAACACATGTGTACAGGCATGGGGATGTGTGTGTGTGTGTGTGTGTGTGTGTGTGTGTGTGTGGACTCCCTGCAGGAACCATATCCTGTGAGCAGTTCATGATGGTCAACCCACGTCGAGTTAAAACATTTAAATATCCAACTCTGTTCATTAAGCATTCCTAAATCTTCATTGTCAATGTTTTGATATTTTTTCATTCAAAAGTGGGGTGGGGGGGCATGTATAACCGGGGTGTCTCCCCAGCTCCTGACCATCTGCACCCTACAGGGGGGGTGCTCAAATAACAGAAACGAGGAACGCTGCATGAAACGGGATAGTATTGTTGAAGTAACTAAATCACAATTACAAACACAGTCAGAAATGCAAGTCATTTGGCTGAATGCCAATTAGCAGCTTGTCTGTTATCTGTGAAAGAGACCAGGCACTCAGTACTGCGATATGTGAGTTTTCAAAGTGACACAAGGCAGTTATGAGCTCCAAAGGAGGCAAAGAGTCAGTCTCCAAACTGCAGGTTCATCTATCATAAAAACACACAGCTATTTATAGTGCTATGGGGAAGGTTCTAAAAGCTCATGAGAGCAGATACCGAACAGAAATAAGCACATTAACAAAGAGGAACAACAGTCACGAGTCGAAGCTTATAGGTGGGGATAGATGGACGCCAAACACGACCAAAGTACAGCCTCAGAATCGGGCACAGAGCTGAATCAGCACCTCTGTGACCCAACTGATGCACAAAGACTCCTGAACTTTAGTAAGGGCCACAGAACTCGGGCCCCTGAGCAACGGCTGGGATTTATATCTGGAGAATCCACAATATTAATTTTAATCCACAATATGAGTAGCCAATTATCAAGGGGGGGGGGGAGTCTGTAATGGGAGGGGCAGCCATCATTAGGTCAGAGGATTGCTCTGCATAGTTGTATAACAGCTGATAAATATGAGGCCATTTCCACCTTATACTACAATACCCCACTATACTCAGCTCAGGACTTGTATGTTGACATTCCTGGGACAGATGCTGTTCAGAAAGTAAAGGGTTGCTCTCTTTATTAAGACCTTGGTATTAATATATTATCAGTTGTGTGCTTTACTTTGTCCACTCGTATACAGTACTTATATATGCCAGAGATGTTCAGCACCATTTCCTTTGGGGAAGCAAAAGATGTAAGAAATTTCTTTAAGACCAAATTAAGCAGAAGTTCAGTGACTCTACACGTACTGTATGTAGTAAGACAATATCGGGATCGCTTTTTAAAAATTGTCACTACATTTGTGGTACTTTTAATATCCATTGTACTTGGATACAGTGTAATGGATTATTTGTTCTTTGTTACTTTTCAGGAACATAATGTGGAGCCACTTGGTCCTTGCTCTTGTAATCTGTCTCATGGAAAAGGAGTCTGCCTCAGGCTGCTTAATTAATGGACGGTGGGCATTCTGTGTTGGCGAATCGTTGTACCACATTCCATTATTGCCTGCCAGTATTACTGCAGTCGATCTGAGTGTGAATTATATAAGTGAACTCAATGAAACATCCCTGCTTGGATTGGAAGGGCTTGAAGAACTGTATATTGGGTCACAGAAGACGAACATACTTAAAGTCAGGGCAGGTACTTTTAGAAGATTGTCCAGTTTGAAAATTCTCGATTTAGGAGACAACAAGCTGCTTGTTCTTGAACCTCATGCTTTTATGGGATTAGTGCGACTCCAGTACTTGTCTTTAATGCACAATGGCCTAAATGAGTCCATTTTAGAAGATCAGTACCTTCAGCCATTGCTATCCTTAGAATCTCTCAACCTCTATGGGAACCAAATACATAAAATCCAACCTGGTCTGTTTTTTCAAGATATGAGGAAACTGAAAATAGTAGATCTATCTTTGAACAGGGTTGGCAGCATCTGTGAACAGGATTTACGTGGATTTCAAGACAAACACTTTCAGTTGCTTAAACTGTCCAGCCTGCAGCTGAATGACATGAGTCTGCCCAATTTTGATTGGAGGAGCTGTGGGAGCCCATTGCGAAGCCTGTCTTTCACTGAGCTGGACTTCTCATCAAATGGAATGACTGTTGAAAATGCACGTTTATTTTTTACCGCTGTTGCAGGCACTAAAATCGATAATCTCATTTTCTCCTCAAATATCATGGGCAGGTCTTTCGGACATCAGAATTTGAATGATCCAGACAATGAAACATTTTCTGGACTTAATGACAGCTCTGTTAAGAGCTTGGATTTATCTAGAAATTCAATTTTTTCCCTCGAATTTTCAGTATTTCATGCTTTTGGAGAGGCTGAGAGGATCACGTTGGCCAATAATAAAATTAACCAGATTGAAAGAAATGCTTTTCTCGGACTTGAAAATTTACGACACCTCAACCTCTCTTACAACCTTATGGGTGAGATCTACGACTATGCATTTGACAATCTGCCTGGTCTTATTCAATTGGATTTGTCATACAACCATATTGGTGCGTTTGCATACAGATCATTTAAAGGGCTGGTCAACTTGCGTATCTTAAATCTCACAGGAAACATGGTTAATACTCTCCACATACTTGCACCAATCTCCAGCCTGCAGTTAATTAGTTTAGCTGATAATAAATTAACATCCTTATATGGTCTTTCTGATTTCTCCAAAAATTCCTTACTAATTGACTTGGAACAAAACCGATTAAGGAGACTGAGTGATTTGTATTCCATCCTTAACACAATTCCTTATGTTCAGATTATCCTGTTGGGTTCTAACATGCTGTCATCATGTGAACCGGAGCAGCCAATGCCAGCAGAAAATAATTTGCTGTACCTTGACCTTCAGAATAATGCGTTACAGACTGTTTGGGAATATGGCGCCTGCATAGATGTCTTTCACACTTTTGATAAGCTTTTATATCTCTACTTAAACCACAATTTACTCCGATCTCTCCCAAGCAGAGTTTTTGAAGGTCTGACCTCCTTGCGGGAGATGAACCTGTCTTTCAACTTCTTAACATACCTCCCGCAGAACGCCTTTCCAAAAAGCCTAAAGTCTCTCGATCTCTCCCACAACATCCTGAGCTCTCCTGACCCACGCAGCTTCCAGTCCATCATTTTTCTTGACCTCGGTATGAATCGGTTTATCTGTGACTGCAATTTGATGGACTTCTTATTGTGGGTAAATCACACAAACGTGACATTTCTGAGTCCTAAGGAAGAATTGATATGTGAATATCCCAAAGAATTATTGGGATATAGTATCATTGACTTAACCGCAGATTCATGTGAATATGATGAGGAAGAGTGGATGTCAGAAATAAGGTTTTGCTTATTTGTGGGTTTCTCTACAGTTCTGATATGCTTCATCATGTCAGCTATCATATACACTCATTATCGTGGCGAGCTCTTCGCTGTCTACAAGAAGGTGACAGCCAGGGTTCTGGAGGGCCATCAGAAGACCCCCGCGGAGGATGGGTCCAAGTACGATGCTTATCTATGCTTCAGCAACAATGACTTCAAGTGGGTGGAGACTGCGCTACTGAAGAAGCTCGATTCTCAGTTTTCAGATCGCAACCCCTTTCGCTGTTGTTTTGAAGCCCGAGATTTTATTCCAGGAGAAGATTACATATCGAGCATACGAGACGCTATCTGGTACAGCAAGAAGACAGTTTGCGTTGTGTCCAAGGAATTCCTGAAGGACGGCTGGTGCATAGAGGCTTTTAAACTGGCTGAGAGCCGGACGCTACAGGAGCTGAGGGACGTTCTCATAATGATCATTGTTGGAAGCATCCCACCATTCAAGTTAATGAAACACGAGACCATTAGGACATATATCCAAAAAAAGGTATATTTAGAATGGCCTGAAGATATGCAAGACATCGAATGGTTTTACGATAAGCTAATAGCAAGGATTTTAAAAGAGGAAAAGGTCGAGAAGAACAATACTGTTGAATTTCAAAATATCAGCTTTATTGTTAACTAGAAGACTAGTTAACTTCGTGTATTCTAGCCTTGATTAGTAAAAATCGACTGGATTTTTAAAAATCCGACTTTACTTCAGAAAAAAGTACTCGAATGTCTAAACGCTCCAGGGTGTCTAAAGTGACTAAGTACACTCGGTAAATGACAACTAGCTGCAGACGAAAGTAAAGGCGAAGCCCCGACTTTGAAGACTGTGTCTCCCTCCCCCTTTTTATTTTGTAGATTGAAATTTGATGTCAGACCTTTATTTTGCTTTTACACACCTACATGCTTTTTTTAAAATATAAAATCCATTTTTGTTTCCTGAATGACAGCTGCCCAATGAGATTTCCATCACTGAAATTTTTCTGCACAGCGCCTTGCTAAAATGAAAGTTTTTTGCTCTCAGTCTCATATTCAGTTTTAGATTAAACTAGTTACACATCAGCAGCGTTTTTGTACAAACTGTTATATGTAACATGCCTACAAGCCTATATGTTTTGAAGACTTGTACACCGATCAGCCATAACATTAAAACCACTGGGTGCCATTATATATTACTCAAGTGAACATTCAGTTCTTGAAGATCATGTGTTGAAAGCAGGGAAACGGGCAAGCAAAAGGATCTGAGCTTTTACAAGGACCAAATTGTGATGGCTAGATGACTGGGTTACAGCATCTCCATGTTGATTTTACTTTGACACGCACCATCTACCTAAACATTGTGGCAGACCAAGTACACCCCTTCATGACAACAACACTTCCTGATGGCAGTGGCCTCTTTCAGCAGGATAATGCTCCCTGCCACACTGCAAAAATTGTTCAGGAATGGTTTGAGGATCATGGAAAAGACTTCAAGGTGTTAACTTGGCCTCCAGATTCCCCGAGATCTCAGTCCAATCAGCATCTGTGGGACATGCTGGACAAACAAGTCAGATCCATGGAGGTCTCACCTCACAACTTACAGGACATAAAGGATCTGCTGCTAATGTCTTGGTGCCAGATACCACAGGACACCTTCAGAGGTCTTATGGAGTCCGTGCCTGGATGGATCAGAGCTGTTTTGGCGTCACAAGGGGAACCAACACAATATTAGGCAGGTAGTTTTAGTATTAGGACTGATCGATGTATATTATATAATGTGTAGTACAGCAGATTTTCCTGAAAGCCGGTGGTTGGACTGTGAAGGAACCAGCAGTTTTGGGACATTGTTGCATCACACACACATGTTAAATGATATCTACAAGCCATGTTGTTACTTCTGATGGGTGCATCTATTATTCTGCCAAAAAATATAATTTTAAAATACCCATTTTAATAAGTCTGTTGACTCTGAGCAGGATGGATGGATGGATGGATGGATGGGTGATTAATAGGCAGACTTTACACTGTCTTTGTATAAAAGCGAGTCAGCTTACAGAGACGTCCACAGGCTGTTGACATGGTGTTCAGAGAACAACCTGGCACTAAACAGGGACAAGATCAAAGAGCTCATTACTGACCCAGGAGGATACAATGAACCCACTCCCATCCTTATCAACTGTGGAGAGGGTCTGCAGCTTCAAACTCCCACATCACAGAGCTCTCATGACCCAACAATACCAGGGCACTGACCTTGAAAGCACAACAGAGGTCGTACTTCCTGTGCACACTAAAGAAAGTCAGCTTGGTCCAGCAGCGATTACTGTCCTTTTCCCATTGCTCTGTTGAGAGCATTTTAACTTCTGTCAAGACCACAAGGAAAATGCTCTGTGGCAGAGAAAACTAAAAGTAAGGACTCTCAGTAAAGCAGGCCCGCAGCCAGAAATATATTTCATTGGCTGTCCGGCAACCTTACCGATAGGTCTTCCTAAGTAGATTTTGCCGACTGGGGGGTTCAAACATGTAATTTTAATTTTAGTCTGTTTACGTGCCTATAATAAAGGACACTCCAAGCCTCAGGCACCCCACCACCATATTTATCCATTTTTACTTTGCACATATGGAACAATATGTACAAAGTAGCCAAGTATTACGTGCAGTGTGTTATTTGCTCTGTTTGTGCCAGCCCAAGCTCGTTGTGCTGTTGGGTACAATAACAAAGTCATTGTGATAAGGTTTTATTTTATGAAAGCAGTCATATGTCCTTTTTACACGTACGCAAATCAGCCTCCTAACTGATGGGTACCAACCAACGTCTCCCCCGTAACCTGCAGCATCATTATCAGACACGAAAATGTTACTTTGTAAAGATTTTACAACACACCATAAAATAGTTTTAAACTTTATAGGTCAGATTTCACGACAAATGTTAGGAGAAAAAGTTAAATATTTTAAGGACATGACAGATGCATGTCTTGTTTACGGAAGAGGATTAGGGCCACCATGAAAATATTATTTGAATTCTGACTTTAATGTCAGAATTCTGGAAAAAAAAAAAAAAGTCAGAATTCAAATAATATTTTCATGATGACCCTAATCCTCTTCCGTACTTGTTTTACAGTTTCGCTTAATCAGCAATTTCAACTTCTAGTACTTGTAGCCACCAGGAGGCAGACTTGTCATTCTAAGATTTTTTTTCCAAGCAGCACTAAACTTTAGGCTACGTCAAGTATTTTACCTCGAACGTTGTAACGGTTGCGGCTACCTGCTTGACTGTATCGCACAATGGCGAGTTTTAAACATTTTTGTTCACAGCGGAATGCAGTGTAAATCCTAATCCCACTCTAATAGCAAGTTTAAAAAGTGCAGAACATTTGAAACGACACGAAAGCGTTTTATTGTTCAGATACAGAGCAGGTCGCGGTGGCTTTGGGTAGAATGTAAAGTCGTTACCGAAAATAGTCAGTAGGGTATCTGTTTGGGTCCCTCATCAGTGCTCATATCCTCTGCCTCTCATCTTTTTATAAATCATGCTGGCATCGTTAAATGCTACGGAACTGAAGTGATCGCATTTACCTTCCTTTCGGTGGTTATATGACCATAATCTGTCCCCCAGATCCACGATCAAGTCATTTTTATATAGTTTTCTGTATTTAACTGACTGCATTTGTCATTTACATAGATGGCAGCCACGATTTAATAACAGTACGACTTGACAACCCTCTTTAAATGGGTAACGAAAACATATTTTTCTTTCCCTAAAGTTGAAATTTTTGGTGTTTTGGGGAAAACAAAGGCAGAATTTGATGATCGAACGTTAATCCGAGCCAAATTTGCAGAAAGTATATAAAAGGAAATAGGGGTAAACTAAGGGAAAGTAGTGGATGGCACTTTACACTTCCAGGATATACATAAAACAGACAGGCCCACAATTTCACAGATTCATCGTCAAGTATGCCACTATTTGACAAACAGAGTATAGCAAGATTAAATGAACCACCATATTAACCTGTATTACTCATTTATTTAAAGGACATAATAGAGGGGAACATCTTTTTAAACTGATGAACTCTTTAAACGTCGATCTGTAATGAATAGATTGGCCAGGATGATTTACACAGAATGCAAAAACCGAATCATGAAGCAAGGAAAATTTACAAAGAGCAAAATTAAAAGATTGTTCCCCAGCATATGATGCTGTTTTTACAAGCCTGCCTCTAATTCTCCATATTTCTACAGTAAATACAGCTGTGGTCTGTCGTGAAACCAGGGATAGAGAGATGTAATATTTTTGGAGCAAAAGCAAACAGCAGCAGCTGCTTTGCTTTGCAGGAGGTATAATAAATGTTGTGTCAGAAACTGTACCTAATATTTGTCCCAAATTAAAACCCACGTCATTATTCACAGGCTGTGGTGAAGGTTCTCTAAAGCAGAGGAGAGTACACTGAGATGGTCTATTTTAGGAACCGCAGTGGGGAACAACAGCCCAAACCAGAGAAGCGAAACCAGCTCAAATAGCAGGATGTTTGGGTAAAGAAAACTTAAGTACAAACCCAGAGCTCCTGTGCGAAACCACTTATATAGTGTAGTGGGTGTTAGATTAACCTGTACACTTCATTACAAATGTGTCATTTGGAATGTATGAGCTTAGCCTTTAAACCAGGGGTGGCCTATCTTATCCGCAAAGGGCCGGTGTGTATGCAGGTTTTTGGGATAACCTGTACAGGTCAGCTGTTCAAACCCAGGTGTGAGGACTCCAATCAGTCCTCTAATTAGTAATCTAATTAGGGACTTGCAGCGAAAACCCACATACACACCAGCCCTTTGCGGATAATATTGGCCACCCCTGATGTAAACAAATACCCACAATATAGGTTTTAATGTAGCGGTTCAGTGATTTTCTTCTACATACGGGGCTTTCTCTCCCCTGACCTGATTTGACGGTCTTCTTGGAGGAAACCACAATTTCAAAGCTACAGACGCCCCCCCCCCCCCCCCGCCATGAATTCCCAGATCAGGATTACCCCTTTGCTTTTCTCATCATTCAGGCCCCACAGTCCATCCTCCATCCTCCATCCTTTGCAGAGTGGACATAATTAATGTAGTCTGGGAAGCGCAACTTCTACCGTTTCACGCAAACTCCCGGGAAGGGGGTGACACCGGAGTCGTCTTTGGGGAACAGGTGCTTTCTGCACTCTGACATATCCGATGGCTTTGCCAGTACAAAGTGAACAGATCGGCCACATGGGAATCTAACATACCTGGCTCCGTGGTTATGGGATGTCTGGTGAGGTATTCTTGTCCGAACAAAACATACAAAAAAAAAGATGCCTTCATCAATCAGCCACTTAGATTTACTACAGAAATACCAGAAGATAAAGGAAGAAGCAGCCTTTTTTAAACCATAAAGGTAGCTTGTGTTCAACACTGTACTATGTTGTAGATATTACTAAGAGGCTATCAAGAGGTTCAGTTGAGAATTTTGTATATATTACATCTAACATTCATACACTAGGTTGGATGAAGAATAATTTGTACTCATGATGTTTAAGATTGAAACCGTATGAAAGGTTAGTGTTTAAAGATGACGAACACAGCTGATGTGGCTTGTGGGAGTATTAATATGCAACTTTGTGTTACAGTCAATAATATATTACTTCACTGAGGACAGCTTTAATTAACAGGAAATGGAAAAATAAAGTACTCCCATGACCTACATTTAAAAAAAAAAAAACATCTTAACTAATAACATATTTAATTCAAGAAAACGTTACATTTAATTATGGGGGAAAATGAGCGTGCGCCTCACTGTGAATTACATGCACAGCACAGAGTAATATTCCTGCACAGTGAAGTGCTTCCTGGTGGGATGCAGGCCAGATATTCGTAGACCTCTCCTTGGCTTTGCCTTTCACTCTGAGGAGTGAGGTGATCCTCCCAGTGAAACTCACTAATTTTTCCTTTGCTAAATGGGGAGGTGAATAGGGAATGTTGTAGGGGGCTCCAGCATGATGTTTGGTGGAGTTCAGAGGTCCTGCTGGCCTGCCTTACAGGATATTCAATGCACTAGGAGTGCCTGGTGGAGAGGGGCCTGCAGAATCAATTCATGCCTGCGGATGCTGTGTGAGCTATGTTGGAGACACACGTGCCACATTGTTCCTGGGGTCATATGGGCCCCACCCAAATTGCAGAAGACCAGGGGCCTGTTTCACAAAGCAGGATTTCTGGCTTAGCCAGATAACTTGCCAGATTTAAGGTAGTCTGGGCTAAATGTAAGTGGATGAAAATAAGGTCTATTTAGCCCAGACTACCTTAAATCTGGCAAGTTATCTGGCTAAGCCAGAAATCCTGCTTTGTGAAACAGGCCCCAGATAGTGTTCTGTGTACATTTCCATCCCTCCATCCATCTGTCAGCTGCTTGTCCTGGACAGAAGGGGAAACCCCGAGCCTATTCCGGAAAACAAAGGGCACAAGAGTACATTCTGGACAGGATTGCCAGTCCATCTCAGGACACACATAAGTACATTCACTCACAATCAAGCACAGTGGGTAAGCAAGTCATCAAGCTGCTGATAAACATGTGACTATTACTCTTAGTAGTTTGCCTATCCAGGATAAGCTCCTTATCACCACAACCCTAAGAATCAATTGTCAATTGATTCATATTATAAATATAAACATTTTCATGAAATTGTCCAGTCATGCACTGATGAGGCAGTAAGTAAATCTTGAATAAAACTGTAAAAGCAGGAGCCAAAAAACAGTAACAAGGAAAGACACAATAGTGTTGGTTTACAAGGCTGCCCTTTCTGTGGAAGCACAATGAAGTCTTGATATTGCTGGAAGACAGATTAGATTACAGAAGAAATCCGCAGGAAATATCCGAGAGGAGGACTGCAGAAACTCAATGATGGCCTTGTGGAGTGGCTCTGTGACACAATCTCCTGAAATG